TTTTTCAGTTTTGTCACTGATTGATACCTTAAAGCCTGAGCATAAATCTGTTTTCTTAGCCACAAGTAGCCAAAGCACAAAAAATGAGTGTCTGTAACTATGAAAATATTTCTATGTTGCTTAGTGGGTGGAATGTAAGGATTTTTATGGGAATAAACAGTTTCACCCTCAACCTAAAAACTTGAACCTATAATATATACTTAAAATTAACCTTCTTCTTATGGGATTATCACACAACATAAACATATTTACATCTTTACAGAGGCTCATTTTGTGAGGTTGGGCTACCTGTGTGATAACTGATGTCAGCTGTGAGGAAGACTTAGCTCTACTCTCCTAAACTGTAAGGTGATTTTATGTTGGTAGTAACAACCTTTGCTTTTCCTTAACCTTATCTTTGAAACATATTTGGCCATTTTGGTTTAGAATATATATTATTAGGTAAACATACGAATAAACATCTAAACACACCATTTTCTTTTGTATATGGTTAAACTTATGCATTACTTAATCCTCAGACTGCAATAGCAGAAAAGGAACATGTTCCTTGTCAGTGAATTTGGATCTCCTTCATATGAGAAAAACATGGGAGCTTTCTGCAAGTCTAGGAAAGAGAACTTTTTTGGTTCACTCCCAGAAAAATTAGAGGTTTGAGGAGGATGTCAGAGGGCCTTCCTCTTTTCACACCAGCCAACTGGAGAGAAATCCAAGTTGTACTCAGGCTCAAACCAGTCCTCAATAGCTTCTTGTCAGAGGGAAGAGATCTAACTTCACTGTCCACAAGTAAACATAGTTTTTCATGGATGTCATCCTTATCAATTCCAGCACAGAAATGAAATTAGCTTTTTACAACTTGCCTTCCATTTGGTTATTTACAAATTGCTTCACTGTTGAGGTAGCATCAAAGTCTCTTTAGAAACAAGTACATCAAAGCTTCCTTGATCAGTACAGTGCAGTGAAAGATCATGTGAAATAGGAAAAAAAGGCCAGCTTCCCATGGGGACTTCATTAAATTCTTGATCCCCATGATCACCTAGGTCACCAATATTGTTCATGATCATAGCTACTTTCTTTAAGGTGTTATTATGTCCTTGGAGCTCATCAAATGCTTGAGCACCAGCTGAATGGATATTGTTGTCAGAAACACTCAGCTTGGTCAAGGTGGCATTTTTCTTAAGAGCCTCACAAAGTGATTGGGCTCCATTATCACCAATGACATTAAGACTAAGGTCTAAAATAGTCAGAGTAGCATTACTTTTAAGGGCCTCAGCAATTGACTCAGCTCCAGCAGCACCAATGGCATTACCTGACAAATCCAGTTTCTCCAAAGAGACATTATCTTTAAGAGCTTCAGAGACTTTGTTGGCTCCAGGATCACCAATATTGTTCCCTACTAGCTTCAAGCTGGTCAGTGAAGCATTAACTCTGATGGTCTCTGCAATTGACTCTGCACCTTCACTGCCAATGGAATTCCAAGACAGGTCCAGATGTCTAAGTGAGGTATTCACTCTGAGCCCTTCTGATAGAAGTCGGGCACCACGAGAACCAAGGGCATTCTCTGCCAAAGTCAGAGATTCCAGTGTCCCATTAACTTTGAGGGAATCAGAAAATAAACAGCCACATTTAGCTTTGATGTTGTTCCTTGAGAGACTTAGAAGTTTCAGGGTTGTATTGGCTTTAAGGCTTTCAGCAATCAACTTTGTTCCACCAAAACCAACCTTATTTCCTTCGAATTTAAGGTCTTTCAAAGTAGAGTTGACTCTCAAGACTTCTGCGATAGACTTTAAACTTTGATGACTTATTTTGATATCTGACAGGAACAATGAGGTTAGGCTGCTGGTATTAGTTTTGAGAACTTCCACAAGAGAAAGAACACCAGCATCACTAATACCAGTTTCAGACAAATCTAATGAGCTAAGGGTTGTGTTCACTTTCAGAGCATCACACAGTGACATAACACTGGGATTACCAATGCCTGGGTTACCACAAAGGCCCAAACTGTTTAAAGTGGTGTTGGTCCTTAAAACCTCTGCAAGTGCTGTGGCTCCTGCATCACCAATGTCACTATCAGTTAGATGAAAAGAACTCAAGCTTACACTCCTCTTCAAATAACCTGCCAAGATCCTGACTGTATCATTGCCCCATGCATTTCCGCTTAACAGTAAGTCATTTAGTGTTTTGCTATCCATTAGAGAATCAGCCAGTTGCTGCACACCATGTGCACTGACAATACCATTTGTCAAAAAGTCAACTGAAGTTAAAGTTTTATTGACTCGAAGTATATTTGCCAATGACACAATAAACTGGTCTCCAAAAAATGGAACCATGATGCATAAATGAGCAAGTGTGCTGTTAACTTGAAGGGCCTCAACAAACAACTTAATGGGAAAACTTTTGTCAGATATTATCATCTCTTGAAGTTCTAGGTTTGTTCCTAGCAAATTTGTCATCTGGGATCGAAGTCCTGAATTTTCTGTGGAGCATTCACCAATGCACTTTAAAGCAAAGCTCAAATAAAAACTTTGAAACTTATAGTTTTTGAAAAGATTGGCTTTCTTGATAATGATATGTAAAAGAGACAAGGCTCTATTTTCTCTTTTATGGCCAAGAATACCAACAGTGAACAAAAGGACTGGTTCAAGAGTGGCTCTTTCACTTTCAAGGAGAGTCTCAAAGTCTGTTTCCCCTTTCAAAATTTGGTCAGAGAGATAAAGACCTGCAAAGAATTCTTGAAAACTCTTGTGTGAAAATCGGTAGCATGACTGGGATCTTCTTTTGCTACTGTTAGACTGAACTGATAAAAATTCAAATAGAGGTGATTTTCCTGTTGTGGCGGGAAATTCACTGTCTTCAATATGCATTCTATCTTTCTTCAAGGCCTTCAAGGCTATACTTCCCAATTGTTCCAGCTCTTCCTTGTAAACTTCAGTTAGGTTTTCATTATTGTGAGGCAACCCTTGCTTTTGGCAAAATCTCTTAAGAATGCATTCAGTGATTTCAAGATACAACTGTGTCTTGCTTAGAGGCAGACCACTGTTTAAATCCTCATAAACAAGGCAAAGCATTGCTGTGAATAAGGGGTTTGCAATCAGTTCTTCAAGTTCAATACTTTGTTCTATGTCCTGCAAAAGGTTTTGTCCCTGTGCCTCCAAGTCTTTGAAGTAATGCATGATATAATTGTGAGAATTCTCTGAAGCAAATCCTTCTATTTGAAACAAGCTATCACAAAACTTGCTTATCTTGACACTACCTTCTTGCCTGGATGTAAGAATGATGTGACACTTTGGAAGCTCCCTGCTCTCAACAAGGTCAGAAAACATCTTTGTACAATTAGATGGTGCTTCATCCAATCCATCAAGTATCAGCAGTACTTGGGACTGATTGGCATTGATGTATTTGAAGAAGTTCTCTTTTGCCTTTTCATCAATGTTTCGAGGAAGTAGCTGATCATCAATTGCTTCCCAGATGTCTCCTGACAGGTCATGACATTTGAGCAGGAGAACCAATTTGATTTTTGGGAAAGAGGGGTCAGTTTCTTGACCATTGGCCCAGTCATACACTACCTTTTGACAGTAGGTTGTCTTGCCAATTCCAGGTTCTCCCTCAATCAGGACAGTTCTGGGCTTGGAGATTCCACTGTGAGGTTTAAAGACTCCAGTGATGCTGGTTACCTGTTCTGCAGCTGTTCGTCTAGTTTTGTCTCGCCTGACAATGGTTGGCCTGGTAAATATATCATTAATGTCAAAGTTGAAGCCCTCACACCATGGAAATGGTGAAAGTCGTCCTTCGCATGTCTGGTAAAGTTGGCGAATCCTTTCTATAAGTTCAGTTGGCTCTTCAACGTCTGAAATTAAATTAAGATAAACTAGGTAAATAAAGGATTAATTTTGCTTTCATTATGGTACTGAATAAATAAAACAAAAACTTGCAATTGTGTTTGATTGCTTAATTTTCTCCCTTTTATACTTCAAATAAGAAGAATTGTCAAGAGAATTTGAATAAATCAAGGGAAAGAAGAAAAAGGAAAAAACTGAAAGGAAACAAAATAAGGAATAAAAAAAGTGAAATAAAGAGTAGAAATGGAAAGTGAAATGGAAAATATGATTTAATGACAAGATTGGGAGATTTTTCTTAGTTTCCTCTGTCCTAATTAGGTCCACCTCTGTTTTCCTCCCCCTTCTCTATTATAATTTGTTTCTCCCTCTCCTTCCGTCCTCACCACTCTTAATTAGTAAATTTAAAATCTACCTTTTGGCAATGGCGTGCTTGTTGAAGCTTTCAATATCAGTTCTTCAAGTTTCCGATCAATTTCATCCAGTTTGTCTTTGGTGTTATCATCATCTCTCTTCCATTCCTTTAGAAGTTCTCTGTAGTGTTCTTCAAATACAGGGTCCATGCACTCATTTTTAAGATTATCAATTGCTACTTCATATGCAGGCCCTCCAAGTCTCACCAAAGCATCTTTGATATCTTGCCAATACACATGGAATGTAGCATCATCCACAGAAGCCTTCTCAGCATGGCCATACACTGTATTTCTGAAGTATTTCACTCGGGCAATGTCAGCCTCTGAGCTCATATCTGTGGCAGGTGGAAGTGCATCCCATCCAGTGGCTGGTGGACTTAGGCTACAAATGTTCCTTAGTAGGACTGTCAGAAGAGTTATATCAAAGTTTTTTGATGATACTGAGGTGCGTATTGGAGGGTAGAGGTTTCCCCATTGTGTTGGATTTACAACCTTCCTCCTTTGAAGTAGCTGTAGTGTGGCATGATGTGTTATCAAGTCTTTGTAAAGATCTGTTGGAGGATGAATACTGTCAAACTTGTCTCGCAGCACATAAGATCCCACATCAACCAGGAGACGACAAAGTCTTGCATAATTGGTGGTCTCTTTAGTAGATGAAAATGACACTGGAGCAGCAGCTGTGGCCATTGTCTTCCTG